TGGTCTCGAGAAATAGGTCACAGGTCAAAGGTCACTTGGGTCAGGGTAATCAAAGTTTCAGGGTAGATGCAAAATTGATTAACTCGAGGGTACTGAAAGTTTCGTCGCGATTAGCCGTTTTTACGCGATTTATTCGCGAAAAACCGAGGGGGGTGGGGTCTGTTCGACCCCTCCCCCTATACGGGGGAGGGTTAACAGAGGAAGACACAATTTCCCCTTACCTGTACTTGTTTTTGAAGTGTTTCAAGCGTCATTTTGAGAAGGTGCTTTATTCAGTTAGGGGGTGCATGTGCAGTGTGCACCCCTAAAACCCCTAATGCTCCACCATATGTCACTAACTAAACTTACTATTTGAAGTTATACTTAATGACACATGGGTAGTTTTCACTCAACATAGTAGGATAATTAAGCATTAAATGCAAAATTAGAGCTTGAGATTGTCCGGCATTTAGCCCAACAGGATACCTCTTCAATCGTCCTAGCTGAACCGCATAAGCTCAGCTTGTCTGAACTCGGACACACCATCAACATTGCCGAGTCTGAATTTGAGCTCGACGCCGGGCCATATGGATGGGCCTGAACTTTGTGGTCATGGGCGCGGGAGCTGGGGGTCAGTGGGGGCAGCCTGCCCCCACAATTCTGGGGCCGTGGGGGCGCTACCCCACAACTTTTCATAGGGCTAGGAACCGTCGGGGTGCCTGCCCTCCCTGAATTAGCGGTTGTGGGTCACAAAGGAAAACTAAAGGGAAGAAAACATTTAAGAAAAATCCCCCTCTTTACCTGGCTTGACAGCTCATGTGGAAGATTTAAGCCTTTATTCTACGTTACCAAAAAGGTAGTTCCTTGACTCAGCTGAGACAAAATATCTCACTTTTTGCAAATGTTTTCGTTTCGTTATTTTTTTTTTCGATGAAAAGGCGAAGGGTGAAAAATAAGTGGCCTAAAACCGGTGAGAAAACTAGATTTGGGGGTACCCTAGGTTTGGCTAGTCCCAACCGGTTGCCCCCCCCCCCCCCCAAGACGGCCGGCTGGATCCGCCCTTGGGTGACGTCACACTAACGGACGCTCCATGTTGAAGATAGGGCCTTGTACAAGGCCCATTTTCAAATGAAGGGAACGAATTTCTTCAACACCAAGAGGCCGCGGGGGTTGAAACCTAGATAGATAGGTAGTGGTTTCTGAACCTCGCCGCAAACTTGGCTATCTCAACTCAAACCCCATGTTAAAGGTGGGATAGTCCCTTTAACCCTATTCCTGGCGGGGGGCCTCAGGAGCCCCCCCCCCCCTGAGGTTTTTTGGTTATTTCTCCCAAACGTGTTGAGCTAGGAAGCTCAAATTTTCTGACTTTTCCTAAAAGGCTTCTACGCAACATGTCTGAAAATTTTGAGTTGATCTGACCTCAGGTCAGGTCACCAGAGGCGGTTTGGTGACCCTACCTCAGAAAAGTTTGCAATCACGCCAGAGCTAGAGTTTTTGACCGATCAATTTCTTCTCTTCAGACTTTAGTTAGGGTACCAGTATGTGCAATTTGTTTATCTCGGAATTTTGATATCGGTGACCTAAGGTCAGGTCAGTTTCGCGACCTCCCCATTATAAGTCAATGGGGGAAAAATCAACTCCCTGTTTTTACCACTAAAACGGGTCGGAATGGCCCCATATACCATACATGACTTCATATACGATCAACCTTCACTACCTTGAGGTCTGTTTTGCTGTTGGGCAGCTGTGAGGTCATGTGACGTCATCAAAGGTCACCAAAGGTTTTTTGCCAATAACTCCGTACAGGAACAAGATACAGACACGTGGATGGTCTCATTGTGTTCAGCTTGTCAAGACGCATCGAATGATATACATGATGACCTCGAGGTCACGTGACCTGAGGTCAACCTTTGACCTTGACCTTTCGAGGTCAACATATATATCATTCGATGCGGATTGACGAGAGGATCACGATGATGCCCTTAGTTTGTTCCTATCTTGACTAATTCGAAAGTTATTCGAGAAAAACTCTCCATATCTAGCGCCGCCATTTTGACTTTTTCGACCCCTGTGACGTCATCTTTGACCTGACCTGAAAATGACCTTTGTAAAAATTGTAGATCTTGACCGTGCGTATCCGATGCCGTTTACCGTTTGTCGCTGCGATGTGTAGTTTTTGAGATCTGAAGGGGGGCCGAATCGGCCCCCCCCCCGCCAGTTTCTTGTCCCGGCGGAGCCCGCCAGGAATAGGGTTAAGTAGGCAAACGTAAAGACAAAGCATATCGATAAAGAAAGCCTGCGATTAGCGAAATACCGAAAGCCTATTCAACCGCTTGCTCCACTTAAAGTGACCATCCCACATTAACATTACTTTTGAGTTGAGATAGCCAAAATGTGGTCCTTGGCTTGCACTTACCGCTTTGAGCAAGTCACAACATCGATAAATGCCTCACATGGAAAATATCCAATCCCCACCAACTTACATGTACGCCGCTGCACCGGCACACTGTGTGGCCTCGCCACAGCCGGCACTGCCTACCACAGTCCTGCATGGTCAGACTGGTCGAGGGACTCGTTGTCTCGCTGATACGCTACTGTATTACTGTGTATGGGTCTGCGAACAAGACTCAGCTTGGCCGCCTTCAGCGAGTCCTCAACTTCTGTGCGCGTGTTATCTCCGGCCGGAGGAAATTCGACCACATTGGCGACGTGTTGCGACAGCTGGAATGGTTTACCGCTGATAACTTGTATCTGTACCATGGCTTGACGCTGCTAAACAAGATCCTGCGCACATCCGAGCCAGAGGCACTCTCGAGTGGTCTCATCACTCGACAGGATGTCACCCGCCGATCCACGCGACAGTCAGACCATCTCGTGACGCCCAAGATTTTATCAGAGTCTGGGAGGCGGAGGTTTTTATACTCTCATGTGACAGCGTTCAATAGACTCCCACCAGCGATGCGTGATATGCAGCATCTTTTTAAGAAAGAGCTGCGTGAGTGGCTTCTGAGGAGTCAGAATGACGGCTGATCAGACTCGCTGACGTTATTTTATATTATATCTGACGCCGTTCACTCACTCGTATGCATGCATGTGTGTTTTTATATACCCACCTATGGCACCTGCACCGACTGTACCTTCTTGACTCGAGGCTATGAATAGCCATTGTATGATGGAATGCCTCACGACGTGAAATAAATAAATAAATAGACTGTGCGGCGCCCTCCTGACCTCTCTGTGCCCCTGGATCATATAGCATTTTTAATCACTTGGCGTCCTTCTGGGAGAATGGCGCCCTTGTCGTGGTCTCTCGGCGCCCTTGTAACCTTCTGGCGCCCCTACGCCCCTTGAGCGGCCTGGCGCCCCTACAGCTGGGCACCCTCAATCATTTTGGGAAAATTGCACCCCTGATCACTTTCATGAAGGTGGGAGGGTCTCTTGAAGAAGAAGAAGAAAAAAACTTTACAAAATATAATGTGGAATGTGTTTTTATTTGCGTTTTTGGAATGCCGATAAAAGCGAGCAACTAAAGAATCAAAGGAACCTGCTTATTTACGTAATTCGGACGACGCATTACGAATATGTGGTCTAACGTGAGGGGCGCTATATAAAAGAAGCTATAATACGGTCTACAAGTTTGTTTCGCTGCACTTGATGTGACCTTTACATAATCAGCAGCTCGCTTTATGTCGTCCGAAATTCGAAACCTAAGCACCTGGTGAAGGATTGAGTTTTTACGCAAGTTTTTCGAGCTGCACGTGTGAGGGATCTTTTCAATGAGCATGAGAAATTCACTTTAATCTAGGCTTATCAGCTGATGAGCTTCCTCGCAAATGGTCATAAGACTATCATGAGAGAAGTAACTGATTGCATAAATCCCTACAAACCTTTTGGAGTCCATTAAAAGATTACCCGATGGGTGCACATGCGTGCTGTATTATAGTGGGCATGTCACGCTAAAAATACAAAAATCATCAGTTGAAGTAGCTACATAAGTGTTATACTTTTGCGTAAATCGCGTCCATGTGCGTCTGCTCGAAACTGACCGCACACATTTTCTGAGATCGTCAGCCTAGTTATGTCCAAACGTTACACGCTTTGTAGCCGCTTCTGGAGGACATTGCACCCGGTTTATAGCTGGTTGATCTGCCAAACTTTTAATGTTGAAGCTGGGAAACGACCGCTTGCCTTCGGAGGACGAAATTAAAGGTCTCTTGTGGCCTTTTGCGAGACATAAGTGTGGCATTAGTGACATCCTTGTCGCGGTCGGACATCGACGGACGGCTTGTCGGCAACGTCTCGAGACCGGAGAAAGAACGGAGACAGAGTGCGTGTTTGGCTTCGGCTGGGAACGAGTCGCTCGGCAGATATTTTTTTCGAAGTCTTACGAGTTTTTTACATACATTCACGGTGCTGTGGCGATATTCTTTTTTTCTTGCAGTTCTAGATGGCTGTTGAAGTTAAACGATATCTCAACGACATGACTTTGGTGTCAATGTCGATGTTCGACGTGTGTCAGTGTCATTGCATGTGTCAGTGGCAGTGCCGGGATCAATGACGTTGTCGCCATGAGTCAGTGTCCGCAGCGTGAACCTGTGGCGGTGCCCTATTGGAGTCTGTGGCTAATGTGTGTGCCCCTGCCGGTGCACTCAGTCTAAGTGCTAGGATTTTTGCATCAGTTCTCGTTGCGGTGTTGGTGATGGTGTCAGTTCCTGTGTCGGTGGCGGTGCCAGTGACGGTCCATCGATTTTGCCTCTGCCCCTCGTGTGCCACCTCCGCCGGCGGCTCGTCGCTCCCCAGTCGGCGCCGTTTACGAGCCCGCTCCCTATCGGCACTATTAGTTCTTTCATTAGCCGGAGAATGAGCCCAGATTTTATTGCATGTCCTCTTTACGACCTGGAGCGACGTCACGACCAATGGGGAGGCGGCGCGCGCGGCGGCCGCCGCCGCTCATTGGCCCGTCGCCGCGCCCTATGCGAACGGCGCGCGGCCGCGGACAAACTACCTGGCCCCTCGGCGTGGGGAGGCGGCGGAGCGGCGCGCGGGCCGACGGACCACGCGCTGACGGGGGTCCGAGAGACCACAGACCGACTGGCATAGGTGTGAGTCGCGTCCCGTTGCGCCCCGTCGAGTAGATTCGAATCGCGTTGGGACTGCGTCAGCCTAAGACGGTGTTGTAGAGATTGGATACGAGGTACTCGGACAAGGGGAGCCATGAAGAATTGCCGGGTGCTCCGGGTCAGTGTGGTGATTCTCAGCTACGCTGCGCTGCTCAACTGGACCGGGGTCGGCGCCAATTGGTGGTGAGTGTTTCATCTGTTGATGGATTGACAAATTTTAGCATCGATTCATTGGTGGATTGCGGCTACAGTAAGGTTTGTTTGGTGACGGGTAGGTACACGCAAATGGCTATCCTGGTGCCGTGACGAACCAGCTCTTTGAAACATGAAGGTCATACATTGGTGTTTAATTATAGTAGTTTTCTTTCGGATGAATGAAGGACATTGTCGTTTTCCTGATTTCTGAACTCTCTGATTAAATCGTACATTATAGAAGCATTTGCTGTGAATGAAAATAGAAGTTTTTGCATTATCCGTCAGCTTGAAAAGTGAGACAAAACCGGACCGTCAAAATTGTATTTGTGCGATTAATGTTCCATGCGTTCATTTCGTTGTTCGTTTTGATAAGCTTCTTTCAACGATTATTTAACTGCATATTTGCATTTCATTGTTTTGCATGAAAGTCGTATTTGATTGATACAATTGCTACTATACAGTTATCAATGTTATGGGTTGTCAAAAGATCCGGTGGCATTTAAAAAATCGTAATATCCATCCTTACAGTGGTCGACGGTCATACGCTAAGCGTGCCATCTCTGTGACAGTTTTGGCGCGTGTCCTTCCTGCCTGGGTTCGGGGACGTTCATATACACGCGCCATTGAGGGTACGATGGGGAGGGTGTTCGACGCCTGTGGCCTGGTTGCCGTCGTTGTAGTCCATTAGAGGCGCGACATTACTTTTCCCGCGCCGCTCTGTCGTGTTTTCTGGAGTACGAGATCGTGTATACCTGCTTGTTGTACACCTGTAAGTGCAGTGCTATTGCTGTGTTGTCGGCTTATTTCATTCGGCTGCGAGTGTGCTGATCGTCGAGCAAACGGTCACTTGCAGGTAGCGCATGGGGCTGAACAATTCAGCAGTTGTTTATAGTTCCTTTTTGCAAACCTCAGGGATTTAGCGGCGACTTATCCGTCATATAAAGCTATCACTTTCCCCTCAAATTAATTGAACATTTTGGTTTATTTTTGTCTATAAAGCTTTCATATTGTGTTTCAACATGAAATGCTTCGTAGTCTATTTTCTTCGTCATCTGTCTTCTTCCTCGTATGTCTGGCGCGTCGACCACAGGTTCTTAGCACGAAGTCACTTCAGCGCAAAGCCATGGAATCTATATCTATCGGCCGATTCCAGTGTCCGGTGGGTGACCGTTCCGACAGCCCACGTGGAGTGTCACCTCTCTAGGACATCCTCTGGTGTCGGTACTTCCTGGTCTCTGGCCGTGGAGCGTGCCTGAGAGCTGCCCCAGCTCGGCCGGTCGGTGGGCTCCGGGTGAGAGCCGGGGTGAGAGGGGCCGGGCGGAGCGGTGGGAGCCCCGCACAGGTGGCCCTCTCACTGTCCGCGGCTCGGGACAGGCCGAGATAAGGCAGAAATAGTGGTTTGTACGAGCCGCGGCCTCCGAAACTGGCATGGCTGATAACGGCGGGCTGTATCTGTCAGGAGATGATGGGACGAGAAACGTGCGGACGATCGTAAATTCTTATTTCGTCGTCAGGTTTTGATAGTAGCTATTTAGCTATGGTAATCTGCTCATTTGACGTGGCTGATAAATTTTATCAATGCAGCCCATCAATTCATTACATGATCAGTTGTAATTGACCAGCGTAACATTGCGATAAGTCAGTACAGAGGACCTAATAGGCAACAAGACGTTATAATCTCGGGATATTTTCAACACCATCTTAATTCCTTCGATTCAGCTATTGTGATTGCTGTAATCAACGCTAACCATTGATAACTTTTGTCATTTTGCCTTAATTGAGGGCTACTTTAGAGAACCAGGAGTCATACCAGGCAGTCATTTAGCCGGTCCCCCAGTTCGTTGATATTCTTCGGAAGCTTCAGGGTAAGTAAGCACCATTGGACCCTCTCCCGCCTCCGCCCTCCGCTATGACTTCATGGCTCCTGTCTCAGGCCGGGTGCTCGCCCAGGTACTAACAGCGTTTTTCGACGGATAATCTCCGAGGAACGCCGACCACCAGCTGCTAAACCCGATGACAGGCCGTAAAAAGCACCATGTCACTCGCGTTATATTGCATTTCGCTAGTCACTTGGCCAGGACCCGTGCATTTCACCGCTGTTCGCACATTAAGAGGATTCTGACCCTGCATTACACTGGAATGAAATGTTATCTGCGTTTGGAGAGCCAATCGGCCACTTTTCTGGCTTAGGGCCCAAAAGATGTTGGGCAGAGAGCAAATCGTTTCAGTGACCGGCCTACCTCACATAAATTGTGACTTGATTCTTCCTTCAGTGAAATCAGAGGCTCACCTAGTTAATAAAGACATACATCAGAGATGCTTGCATGCTTTCAGATTATACTTCATTGAGCAACCTTTCTGTTCAGTCGTCTCGTTCACTGAACATTCTCTCATGATCAGCCTTAGTAAAATGTCAGTGGGGTTCCGCGATAGGCCAACGATAAGATTTTGACGTCACCTAAACAGGTAATTAGCACGGCTTTATGGTAGATAAGCGATCGAAAAGAGATAAAACCAAAAGCACAGCTGGTATGCTTTGTACGAGCTCGCATGAATCGTGACTTCATTGGAGCGGTCTTATAAAATTGTTTGCAATACTTGAGTCAGGGCTCCAGTTCATGACTTTGTGGCTAAACTATGCTTTACGATGAATCCTTTCAATGGATTGGCATGAATTCCTCAAGCTAACCATTTTATTATGTTTCGGTACAGCCTATGCAGACCGTATTATGAGTGAAATTGAATGCCTTATTGGCGGAACAGTATCGCATTGCTTAGCCATTGCATGACATTTTGTTGGAAGATAACCGCGACTTGAATGACAGCGATGGTGATTTTTATGCCCGTCATCCCATTTTTTAACAAAACGAGTGGTTTGCTGTCATTTTTTTTTTTTTTGGCAAACAAGACCGGGCCGATCAGTCAATCACTTCGAATAAGCCACGGCCGTCTCATTGACCAGTGACCACACAAACAGCCTATCGAACTGACGTTTGCCACCGCGGGGATCGACTCCCCGGTGTGAACAAAGCTTTACGCCCCTCCCGTCACCCTGCAGACGTGCTGTCTGGTCTGACTAGTCGTGTCCAATCTGGCCAGGCCGACAGGTGAACGGACAGGGCGCCCGCCGATTGGAGCTAGCTCCGATTTGAAGCTGCACAAGATCGGTAGGAACGGCAGGCAGATGCTGGATATTGCGACTGGCCTGGTAGATGACTGGGACGTGTTGCGCTGTTTGAGAATCCGACAAGCTTTATTATTTGGATACTCTACGGAATAAAACAATTCCGCACTCGGATATATGTTTTTTAGCTGTGTTTAGTCAGTGCTAATGCAACATATAGCACAAATAGAACACAGCACAATAATTCCGCAGTGGACAGTTTCGCCTCCAATGCGGTCAACTTGGCGTGGAAACTCAGCTCCTGGAACTCCCTGTGTGGCCATGCCCATACAAGTAACACAGTTCTTACAATGCATTACTGACCAAAACCAGACAGCGTGCTTCGCTATTTTTGGACACGCGCGCCACTCTTCTACAGCACAAGCAACTCACTCAGCGAGCCAAATGCAGCTCGGCGATCCTGCTTATCGGAGTCATCGCGGTGACAGGCCGACATCCGCGGCTCGACAGTCCATTACGCCGTCACCGCAGAGCCGACATACGCCGCGACTGAGCTCGGTACGCTCCATAGCGGCCCGTATCGCCGCTCAGCTCAATGTCTGGCCGATCCCGTTACCCCGGGACCTCCCTTCCCTCCCGACTCATCAGACTCGTCCCTTCGCCAGATCGGTATGGGGTGGGGGTCCGCGCACCCCTGAACGAAGGAACAACCTCGTAAATAGGCGCGCCGCCGCCGTCGTCGGGGACACGGCGAGCTGGCAGAACGCACGGTCGGCACGTTTCGGCGCTGTGAGACGACGGTTTACGACAGGGGTACGGCAGTCGGACGTCGGGGGCACCTTCAGCAGCTGACAGCGCCCATCGTAAACACCGCCCATTCGACGGACAGACGAGGCTGAGAGGGGAGAAACGACGCTTCCCGAAGGAGACAGACGGCGAGGGTAAAGGTGCTGTCGGCTTTCCGGGCATCCTGCTTTCTTAGATACCTGCCTATAACTCAACGCTTCCCTGGGGGCTGAGAAGATTTCCGGCATCATCCCTCATCGGTATTATCTGAAAAGAATTTTTGGCATTCAACCACTTGAGAAAAAAGATACTTATAGCCTGTGCATCTAGTCTTCGCGTCCTTTTGGTACGTTGCGGTCGCCTCATCAGGTATCGATCCTTTTAGTCGAAATCCAACTTTACTACCCCGCGTTACCCCGCAATTATCCCACATTGACAGCTCTGAACACAAAGCGGGCCACACTCCCTCCCCAGTGCTGGTCTCAGTGATGGACTACCGGCAGCTGTCGTCCTAGCTGACCAGACAGGCACGCTTCCCACACCCCGGGCCATCAGGGGGCTGTCCGCTTCCGGCGACCGGCCACCGCAGCTGTCCCGGCGCATAGCGCGGTCACCGGGGCACATAGCGCGCTGTGACGACCTCTGCAGAGGGGTGTGAGGCATGTGGCGGCTCCTCAGAGGACTTTCCGCAGGAGTCACGACCCGACGGGCTCACAGCCGAGAGAGAGGTTATTGTCAGCTTCCCATTCGTCGCTCTGCAATCGTCATCTTTTATGACATTCGCGAAAGGAGCGTTGATTGTACGCAATACCGCCCCATTCTTCGAGTCCTGCTTCTCTTCCGTTCTTGCCATGCTTCAACACAATGCGGAAATGGTTTCTGCTGACAGTTTGCGCCAAACTGTTGTACCTTCTGGGAGTCGTTTGCAGTAAACCACCAAATGTCCGCGGCGTCCTTCTCCTCACCAGGCCTCCCACGCCAGACCACTGCGTCGCTTTCTTTGATCTGACATCACCCGTTCTTGCTACACTCCTGCCAGCCCTGGATTGTACGGCGGCTCGTATTTCTTTTCTTAGTGCTGGCCGCGGTGGGTGGCGCCTCGGAGTCTGAGTCTGGGCCGTCCAGAGCTGAGTCACCTGCGCGTGTTCGCCTGACTCAGGTGACTCACCGGTGCGCTGGGCGATCGCCCATCGGCAGCGACGCTTTCCCGTCGTCGCCAGCCTTGTCGTCGCCAGGCACGGCGATGAGTCATATTTTGCTGTCATTGCTGCTAGTACGCTCGTGTCATGTATGTAGTTGGATTGTAGACGACGTAAACAAACATCAGCATATAGCCGCTTTTCATCATCATTGACACACAACATAAATTGATGTATGCTGTCTCAAATTGCCACCATCGCATCAAGTAGTCCCACGTGATAGTATCCCTTCTGTTTTCGTGTAGGAGACAGCAAATTAGGCATCACAACGTCTGATCAGCAGAAGACATCCGACTACAAACTGCCCGTCAATGGAAGTACGATCGCCTGATGGGGACGCTTGCGGATCGCGCCGGTTACACTGGCCGTCACACAGAGGGTGCCCCAGGGGCACACGAGCACGCGCGGGGTGCGAACGACGCATACGACCGACGCGGTGGGCATGTCCACTTCATTAGTCGGCCAACTAATTATCAGAGGCGCGCCACGAGGGCGGACGCAGTCAGCACGCCGTCCATGATGCCACTTCCGCACCGCACGAGATTTATGTGTGAGCGGCCCGCCCCGCGGCCGCAGAGAGGGGCACCGATGGACCCCCGGGCGCGCCCCGCCATTCACACCTCAGTGGTGATGACGCCACAGAGGCTGATCTTTCCGCGAGCCGCCGCGACCCTTCCGGGAGTAGTGGTAGGTAACTCATACGATTCATAAACCCCAGAGGGGACTTCCGCATGGGTAGGGACTGAAGAGCAGGGGTTCAGAGAGCTGCATGAGGCATTTATGGTCTCTTCTCAGTCACCGTCTCTCTGCACTGTGCACTTTATCGGACACCGCGGTCCGGGACACAATGAGAATCGGCAGAGTTCTCTGGGCGGCCACCTCAGAGACTTCTCAGTGGTCTCGTGGTGAAACGAAGAACGCAGGAATGCCGCTGCCTGACTTACGGCCTGGTGCGAGTGCTGTAACTATGCCGGGGCTGTAATAAAGACGCCAGTAGGAGGCCGCCTGTTTCGCCGACGTTGCGTGAGTTTCGGACGCGCTGCATGGTGGGAGGCCTACCACAACGTGCGCACAAGTATTTCCGGAGCTTGATTGCCGAGCCATCGACGTATTCCCATTAATAAAACTTACTCAATTTATGGTATCCCCGGTTTTACGATCTTTCAAACTGATTCTGGACTCTGGTTTAAAATGCTCTATGTTTAGCTTGACATTTAGTCACATTGTAATGGAAGCTAACATTTAGGGGCGCCAGGTGCGCTTAAAAAGAAAAAAGCACCGAAATAATAATAAATCCGACCATGGCTGCGAAATGCACGGTCCGCTCCGATTGTTGGGGCGTATATTTTACGGATAAGAGCCGCTTTCATTGCCATCAAAGGGGTCGTGAAACGGGCGCTGTCGCCGCTGTTGGAAGGACGGAAACCGGCCGGCGGGTCGCGGCGAATGTTCCGCGGGCGAATTGTGCGGCGATATTGCGTCCAGTGCCGACTGTTAGGGCGCCTCTTTGGCAGAGACTGGCGGCACTAAAACAGCGAGCTCGGAACACTCCAGAACACGGGCCTCGGCTCCCAAGAGGAGGGGGCTGAAAGCGATGAGCTGATATTTTTTTTTTTGAGTAATATGCTTACTTTTGCAATGTAAAAAACGTTTTGCCAAAGCTGCTACGAAGTTGCATTTTTTAATGCCGAAAAAATAAATAGGCATAATGTATGCTAGGACATTTTATTAAAACAATCGTAAAACAATAATATTACATAAACATTAGATAGAACGTATTGTTGACGTAGGGTTGACGTTATGCGGGGATTTCCAGAAAAAGTTGATTTTGCGCCTCAAACAGGGTGTGGGCGCAAAATCAACAGGGTATGTAAAGTCCTTTTTACAGGGAAACTGTTCAGCCTGTTCAGTCGTCCTCCTCATTAGTAATGTCTCAAACAAATCATTGTCTGCCTGACGCACGGCTACCTCCGCGCGACTGTGTGACTGACGACTGTCGTTTTGTTGCAGGCTGCTGGGAATGCAGAGCTCCATCGACCTTCAGATGGCGTCCAGCTCTTACCAGAACACCTGCCAGAAGCTGCACTACCTGGTGGCGCGGCAGCGGGAGCTCTGCGGCCTGGACAGAAACATTCTCCAGGTGCGATGGACCGCCATGCCGGCCTCTTGTGTGGGCAACCCCCCCCCCCCTCCCCCCACTTCCTCACAGCACGGGCGTATCCAGGGGCCGCGAATCAACGAACCCGCTTGACACTTGCATGAGCTGATTTGCCACTTCACTTAGTCAAAGTGGGCTGAATGAAGGTTGTTTGCTGGAGTATTTCAGGACATTGCCGAAAACTTTGTAGTTTATGATTATTCGCCATTAGTTTTAGTTCGTAACTCCACCTAGCAACGCCGATTTTGCTGGGCTAGGTCGTAAAACGCTGCGACTTTAGTGCTTTTCGCGACAGCCTGTAAATCGTAGTCGAGTGCACGGGTCTGTGGCAGCATTGGCCATTGAGCTGCCATATGCGCCGGCTGTCAAAGTTGACGGGTGTGGCTTCTCCTCACGCTCGGGTGTCAGCGGCTGACTGGTGAGACGACTCCCCGCTCACTGGCTGCCATTATCGGGAGGACATCAATATGCCCGGCGGGCGCGGCCCGGAGAATGTTTGTGACTGGCAGGCAGTGAAGTGTGATTTTTGAGCAGTGACTCCCACCTTTTTGTGGCATTGCTGAGCCCATATTGAGCAGTGTTGGTTTCTATAAATGGCGTCGCAGGCCCCTCCATTGCCAAAACGGGTTATATTGTCATCAGATATGCCGTTGACGCTGTAAAAGTCTTCTCATATATTCGCACGTCCTTCGGAATTAATCACCCATGCCTTTTCATTCTCTGTCACAATCGGGCGCAGGACAGAGCCTGGCTCACTTCCTCCCCGTCTTTCAGTGTGCTGGATATGGCGCTGCTCTTCTGAATTCTGACCCTTCTGTCCGTATTTCAGTGTGTGGGCTACGGCGCCAAGACCGGTATCGAGGAGTGCCAGTGGCAGTTCCGCACGCACCGCTGGAACTGCTCCACCTTCAGCAACGCGTCCTCCGTCTTCGGAGGCATCGTCGCCGTCAGTACGCGCTCTCCCCGCCCAACACACCCCCTCCCAACCCGTCATCTGCGGTAACCCAACCCCAAACATTAGTGCTTTGCATACGTTTAGAAGTGAAAAGCTTGGTTGCCATTCAATGATAGATCCCTGTTTCACGCTTGTCTGTCAGTTATAAGGGATGTTACTGTTGAAAGTGCTTGTGTACTATCCTGACGTAGTGTGATGGACAGGACGGCCAGCATGTCAGACGTGATTTAACGCATTGTTGAAGATAACATCAATCTTTCGATCCTTCCGAATATCAGATACATCCGAGAAAATACAGCTCGTTTTTGTTAGTGTCATTCAGATCATTAAAACAGACCGACCGCTAAAGTGATATCTTGCAATGCATAGGTAGGTAGTGTGCAAATAATTCACGATGCTTAGAAGCATCCGAATCGCATGATCAGTCTATGCACATTTTTGGTGTGATTTTTGCGGTTTTATCGCATGCTATCAGTCAAACCTCCCTACCGTGACCTCACGCGCCGCCCGGCTGTGCCCCGTTGTCCCCAGAGAGCCGAGAGCGCGCCTACATCCACGCCGTGTCGGCGGCCGGCGTGGCCTACAGCGTGACACGGGCGTGCAGTCGCGGCCAGATCGCCGAGTGCGGCTGCGACCAGCGCATCCTGAACCGCCGGGCGCGCCGCTGGGAGTGGGGCGGCTGCTCGGAGGTGGGTACTGGGGCGGCTGCTCAGAGGTGGGTACTGGGGCGGCTGCTCAGAGGTGGGTACTGGGGCGGCTGCTCAGAGGTGGGTACTGGGGCGGCTGCTCGGAGGTGGGTACCGGGGCGGCTGCTCGGAGGTGGGTACCGGGGCGGCTGCTCGGAGGTGGGTACTGGGGCGGCTGCTCGGAGGTGGGCACTGGGAGCGCCTGTTTAGAGGTGGGTGACAGTTCAGAGGTGACTGCAGCTCGCCGCTGGGAGTGGGACGGGTTCTCGGAGGTGGTACTGGGGCGGCTGCTCGGAGGTGGGTACTGGGGCGGCTGCTCAGAGGTGGGTTCTGCAGGGCAGCTGCTCAGAGGTGGGGTAGAGGTGGGCCAACTGTTCAGAGGTGGGTGACAGTTCAGAGGTGACTGCAGCCCGCCGCTGGGAGTGGGACGGGTTATCGGAGTTTGGTTCTGAGAAGGGGGGGGGGGGTGCGCAGAGGTGTGCGTCTGGGGGCACTTTCGAGGGGGCTGATTCTCGGAGGAAAGAGAACATTTGTCAATGGAGAATCGGAGGAAAGAGAACATTTGTCAATGGAGAAGTGGTACACTAGAAAGTGATGTAGTAGTTGTGTCACAACTGTGATATAATTGTGTCATTTTCCGTGCACGGACGATGTAATGCTTAAGTTGCCGATCCAGTGATAACCACTGTATTTGTGCTTCCGCAGGACGTGGATTTCGGAAGGATGTTCAGCAGAGAGTTTGTTGACTCGAACGAGGAGAAAAACTCTGCCGAGGGTCAGATGAACCTGCACAACAACGAAGCCGGCAGACGGGTAAGAGCTTGGGGTTTGAAATAACGGAAAGTCCAAGTCCAAGTGACTTCCGAAATCAGATCTAGCGTTTTGGGTTATATGCTCCCTGATCTTCCACTCTAATCGAAAATGAAGTCGCGCTTCTACAGGCGCTGTTATGCATTCGATGGCTGGGACAGCTTTCTTTTTCGCATGTATGTTTCATAACTGCAGCTTTGGAAAATATCCATTCATGTCCAATTCGTTCGAGAGCTTGGCAGAGTCTCTTGTTAATAGGCTGGGATGTTTGATGAAACCTGCATATCCCCCGGCCGATCGCGCACAATAGTACCGCGCACAATACCGGAGAGGGCCACTCAGAGCGGCATTATCCGGACTACTGAAGTTTCGGCCTCTCCACTGAAAGCCCCTTTGTTCTCAGTTTACTAGCCGCCGGCGGTCCATGATAAAGATATTATGGATCATAAAATGGAGACGTAAAATTTTATACCAGCGGTGGTGGGGAGTTACCATAGATGGAAAATGTTTATGTCCCCCAGGGCACGCATCACAGCCACATAAAAAGGGAACACCGCTTGAGCTCATTGCTTTTAAATCGAGATAGGAGAGACTCTTGTAGTTTGGCTGAACCGGCGTTTATTTTTGTCCTGCTTAGTTTGGTATTGCGTTGCCACTGCCTGATCAATATAAGTAGATTGTTTTCAAAGAAGCAATTGTTTTGTCATGCTGTCCACTAGGAGACACCTTACTGTCGCACTGGCACTGTCAGACGGTTCTTCACTAAACTGTGTATAGTCTTTGACGGTTCCTCACTAAGCTGTGTCTGTTTTCAGATTATCAAGAAGAACATGGTCCGTCTGTGCAAATGCCATGGTGTGTCAGGATCCTGCAATATGCAGGTGTGCTGGAGAAAAATGGCGCCTTTTCGGCAGGTGAGTACGATCGAGAATCTGAATTCAAAGTCTACATACACCGAGTCCGACAGATAAGCACGTTGCCTTATACGACAGGAAGACAGTCGGGTTTCAGCTCAGACACTATTGTGGATGTGTAATGCTGCGGGCAACATTTTACCACTGACCCTCTGCCGTAGCAGACACCCACCCTTGTTCCCCGGCTGGACGCCAGTTACGTCCAACCCCTGACGCCAGTTATGTCCCCACCTCCGACTCCCGCTATATTCCACCCCTGACACGCTGTTACGCCCCTCTGACACGCCGTTCGATCCATTGTTGCAGATCGGTGACAGTCTGCGCGCCAAGTTCGACGCGGCCACTATGATGCAGACGGTCCGTCGGCGCCGCAGGATCCGACTCAAGCCCAAATACCCGCGCCAGAAGAGGCCCACCAAGCGCGACCTGGTCTATCTGGAGGACTCCCCAAACTACTGCGACAAAAACACAAAGTAAGGACTGGGCTGTGCACTTGAAATGCGATATAGCTTCGTAGCTGGTGCGCCCTCTCACACCAAATCATCATCATCACATACTCTTTTGAGGCTCTCAGAGGCTTGAATGATAATGACCAATGAATGATATTGGAACAGCTGACTTCCCTTCCCTCTGAGGATACTGCTTCCATCCTACTGACCTGAACTCACCGTCCACAGACTGGGCATCCCCGGCACCCGCGGCCGCGAGTGCAACCGCACCTCGTGGGGCATGGACGGCTGTAACCTGCTCTGCTGCGGCCGCGGCTTCCGCACCGAGGTGCTCGAGGTGTCAGAGAAGTGCAACTGCCGCTTCGTCTACTGCTGCCACGTGCAGTGCGAACAGTGCAACAAGACGGTGATGAGGCACACGTGCAACTGAGCTGGACCCGCGGGGTGGAGCGAAGGGGAAGGGTGTGAGTGTAGCGACGGAGGAGATGTGAGCATTGTAGAGTGCCGCGGGATTCAATGAGGATCTGGTAGAAAGCACATGAAAGCTGAGAATGAATGTGCCATTGGAGAAATAACATGGGGTGCATGTATGCTCGTACGAAAGTAGAAGACAAGACAGGCTGATCTTCTTTTTTCGTAAAGATTGGATTAAAAGCGTGAAGCTTTAGTTTGTATGGAACAACTTTGTGTTATGTTAGATGCTGGACGATCTAACCCCATGTTCAAATCACCCTCAAAGATCAGTTCAAACCCCATGCTAAAAGTGAACTATTTTCTTTAAGTCACATTACCGTTGGAACTGAATCAGTCGTAGTACATCCCTGACGGGAGTAGCACGCCCGTCTTAAATCCTTTGTGAACAGTTCCGCTAAATGCGGCTAACTCCGTGGCAGCGGCAGATACACTCTGACCGACAAGTTACCCAGTGAGTGGATAAAGTTAAATGCTCCTGTACGTGTGAGCGGAATGATATTGGGACACGCGATAAGTGACAAGGAACTGGACGGAAAGACTTCCGTAGCGTCGACGGCTGCGGGTACTATTGAGTTACTCACTGATCCTGGAAATAATTATTTAGTTTGGAAATTCTCTCAGACCTCAGCATGGGTCAGATACAGACATTTGCGTGCATAGCTCTACATGACTACTTAGACGTCCAATCCGCCATTGCGAGGCTCATAGACGATGGCACTTAATACACAGCTAGCTATCAGTTGACGTGCTAAGTTAGTGTTAAACTGCATGTGTACATACAAGACATTGGTGTACTCTAATCTTTGAACGTGTGAACTCATTCACGAAGTGTCGCATCATGCTAGTAAAGATGATCGTAGGTGGTGTGTATAAAGGCTCTGCTCACTTGGATATATAGGGTACTTCTCGGTGGCCTACTGTACCCGCGAGAGTATTAAGCTCACCTGAAAACAAACAAGGTTGTAGATACTAGGTAGTATGAGTACCTGCAGGCAGTCAAGGTAGGTGCACGAAAGACCGTCACGAAATAACAAGTACTCGCACAGCACAAGTCATTGAGATTTTGACAACGTTTATGTTTTATTCATGCCTCAGTGTGGTATACAATCATGTCCAATGACTTATTCGTAGCGGTTCCGATCGCAGCAGAAGTTTTATTTTATGCCCTTAACTATTTTTTTAGATATTAAATGCACTTATCGATTTGTTCCTTTTTTTATTGTCGACCCACAAGCTCCACTGTCCTACTTTGTTGTCGACCACAAGAGGCACTGCTGGTCCGTGGTGGTCGGAGGAAGAACTCATCCGCCTCAGCTGGCACCTCCAGCTGTGTAGTTCAGGAGTCGGACGACATGGCGCGGCTGTAAAGAGCAAGATGTTGGCTCATCTTAGCAAGACATTTGCTTCTCGGCTTTCGTTTACGTTTGTGTGGATTGCTTCCGTTTATCTGTCGTTTCGTTTATGCTGTCCGACACGTGTAAATAAATACATCCAATGGATGCTACACCGGTGCGTATTCCCAATTGTCTCTACAGTCGATCATGAAATGAATTTCCAACGTGGCTTAGCTTTGAACTCGTTAGAATTGTTGCAACTTGGAAAGCCTGTTCTTTTCAGTTGAATGCCGAAACATTTATGTACTTAGATGTATAATTGCATAGTATTTTATGCATCCCGATAAGCTCGTGATTTAGCAATGCTTTCATTGCTTTCACATCAAGAAATGGCCTTGGGAAAATGTCCTTTTACCTATATCGGATGGGCGGTTTAGGGCGTTGTTGCTGGATCTTGCCGTTTGGGGGCGCTGTTGGAGGACCCTGCCGTTTGGGGGCGCTGTTCGAGGGCCCTGCCGTTTGGGGGCGCTGTTGGAAGACCTTGCCGGTCGCGAGGTGGCGCTGCCAGCGCTACGACCGACAAACCATATTATGCTTTGTTTATAATGGGTTCGCGTAAACGCTAATATGAAGTAACTGGACGGTCAGGCTCGCCTGCCTGTCCAGTTACTTGGTACAAACCGTCTTATGACCTGGCGTTCAAGTGGATAATTAATCGTCCCGATTCTCCCCAGGCTGGTGAATACCTATTACCCTTTGCTGTTGGGAGCGAATTGATTGTTCACTCACACTGCGCGGATATTTTTCCTAAAAATCTAGCCGATATCCACTAGAACTCTCAGGAGCAGCCCTTCATCATCATTGGCCACACTTCCCTGTTTCAGACTGTCTTTCACATGACCAGAACGCCTGTGGACTTGTTGGGGGTCAGTTTCGGTCAGCGTACAATCCCGCTGAGTGACCACTAGAAAGGTTGGACGGGACACTCTAATCCACGGGACTTTCTCATTACAGTAGTGGCGGAACACCTTCAATTAGGGGGGGGGGGGGGGCACTGCCGACTTTTGGTCCCATTCTCTCATACAACGCCTATAGGGCCAATGTTAAAATGCAAAAATCAATGGGGGGCACGGTGCCCCGGTGCCCTCCCCGTTCCGCCGCCAGTGCCTCAGTACATTGCTTCAAATTATCTGAGAAGGCTGAAAAGTCATGATTAAAACATAGTTTCTTGCCTAAATACCACGCAAAATGCTGCAGTTATGAGGACAAGAAATGAGGCGCATTCGCCACCGATCGATCAGTTAGTTAAGCAATAAGCATGGCTGCACTAAGCATCGGTTTTCGAAAAGGAAGCATGCCAGTCAACTCACTGTGTATTGTTTATTGACAGGAGCAGACGATCACAATTCACCGTGGCCAATTCGTGTCTAAAGTCATTTGCGAAAAAAAAAAAAATACGCCAGGGTTTAAAACGGGAATGAAATTGGCCACACTTGCCTGTTTCAGACTGTGTTTCACATGACCAGAACGCCTGTGGACTTATGGGGGTCAGTGTGAGATGTTTTACCCAAATAGGGCAGCAACTCTAAGGTTGTCTTGTAGAACCCGTTTTCCATTCAGTTTTGTGCACCTCAAACCTGAACCCACGTTGAATCCCTTACTGTCCCCTCAGCACTCTCCAGTCGGCTTGTGGTTGCGGAACGACTTGTTCGCTGCGTCGCCTGGTATTGCATGGAAAATAAGCGACTTATGTCACTGTTATTTCGTGCCGGGCTTGGTGGTCGGCTCGTGGTTTCAGCCGTTTTCTGGCTGTTCGCTTACCCTGACAGCCTTTTTTTTGGGACAACCGTTATAACAATTAATGAATTAAATAATTGAAGGGCATAGAGTTATCAAAAGCCTTTTTTCTAAAAATAGAAAAGACATGTGGGCGTTAGACCATTCTCCCTTGGCATCCTTATTCTCATACTGGTACAGCTATTGTTAGCCGTGCATTTCTTTCTCAGAGATGATAAACCACAGCATTGACGTGCCTGACCGGACGATCGCCTTTTTGGAGGTTTGTCGCCAGTTATATCGGTGACGTGATAACTGGGTTGGGTTTACCAGCCAACAGAGCCAGAATCTCCCGCGGTGTCGGATGGCCTCAAATTCGCACACAGGTGTCAGCAGCGGGATGTTGTAATATTGCCCAATCCGTACCAAGCGATGAACTCTGATGGTGTTAAAAATAACGGGATAAGTTTTTTATATGATTCGATAGCATTGACTACACTTATGCAAGATTTCGTGTCGATGCTTTTATGTAGCTAAATGCCGCCGACGCAAATCACATGATACCTTATCATGGGTAATTTGAATTGTAGAAAAAAATAATTCTGAAATAAGACCTGCCCTAAAATGACGGGAACTGATAGCGGCGTCATGAAACAACGAATGGAGGTCTACTGGGATAAACTGGGATTTTTCTGTTTAAGCTGTGCTCCAACATAAACCATAAGTATATCATTGCTCTTAAGTTATTCATTTCGACAAAACTCGTGGCTTGAGCCGTCTTACTTTGCTAATACCCCGGCCCCCGGGCGGCCATCCATGAGACCTTTATACGCGATGATGTCATTCATATATTAGCGTCGACAAACACGTATGCACGAGTGAGATGGGTGGAAGGACTGCGGCCTCGCGGCGGCTTCTGATGTCTTCTCTGACCGCTGATCTCTCAGTCAGCGGGGTGCTGAGCACTGCGCGCCGGCCGTCGTCGGGTCGATATTTACTGGGGGTGCGGGTCGGGCACGGGCAGCGGCAGGTCGGGTCCGTCGATCTGCAGGGTGCCGTATTCGTCGGTGACGTAGGTCCTCTCGATCACCTGTCCATCCTCCTGCTGGTACCTGGGGGAGAACCGGGGGTGAATGTCAGAGCGGGTGACAGTCTTGAGCGATCAGGACGTGAGGCGCCGGACGAACAATTTATTTTTATATGTCGCAGAAGCAAGGCTTCGAAAAGTAAACGATCGCTCGTATATGATCGTGCGGTGTGTTCTTGCCAGTTTCAACATTGTTTTGCATCTGAAACCGCTCCCTCATATTTAACACCATTCTACTGAAGTCCGTTTTTGGCTGTGAACTGATGGGTAACAAGCAGAACTCCCTCTCCATGCACACACAGTGCGCCCGTGCCGGCTTACTTGAAGGATCCCTGGTAGGTGGGCACGGTGCGGTACTCGGTCTGTCCGTCACTGTTGATGATCTCCACCTGTTTCAGCACGATCCGCTCACGACGCTCCAGACCGTTATCGGCCGTGAACCTGTCACGAAAACCAGGAGTGGTGTAAGAGACGGGTTTATATGTGTGTTCATTGTATTGTGATGTGGCATTTACTCAGAAATATTAGTTGCAAAAAAGTAGCATTAGTATAAGAAAAAATCCTGATTTTTTCCGACAGCTTGTCGTCCACTCATTGCTAAGCAGCAAATGCATCGATTAAATTAACTTACATCTCCCATTGCCATTTTTCTACTGCTTTTTCTCCTCAGAGACGTTCCATTACGCCCAGGGAATGGCCAGTCTTTCTCGCGGTACGATCAGTCACACCCAGAGTTTGACCGGTCACACGCGCTGCATGACCGCTCTTACCGAGGGTGTGACCGTTCACGCCGGCGATTAGGTCTCGCCCAATTATATAGGTAAGACCGCGGTGCACTCACGCGTTTTCGTTGCTGCCGTCGGCCAGGTTCTCGTTGGTGAAGGAGGTGATGACCGCGGCACGGTCAATGTCCCGCAGCTCCTTGGGCGACAGCAGCTGCTGCGGCAGCGACACCGCGCAGGCCAGCACGCAGCTCAGCACGATCTGACAGACGGAGGGGCCTGGTTAGCAGGGGGCACAGAAAGGAGGCTTCGTAAGAGTATTACAGCAAGAGACGTTTCTCAAAAAGGTGTTAAGACGACAACGGCCATATGAGAAAAGTCAGCCCATTATATTATTTTCTCTTGGTCTTTAGAGCATCATTTTCTTTTCACTTTTAATTCATTTCAGCTGAATTTATTCAATTTTGATTTATGTAAATGCTAATGAAACATGTAATACCAGTCTGACCTGGCGTGGGCACAGGAGCATTTCATTATCACATTCTCTCTTTCAAAAATATTAACCCTCTGGATTAAGCCTCGATTAACCCCAAAAATCCTCTGAAAAAAAGGATTTTTGGGGCATGATAGAACAACGGTTAAGAAAGAGTTTTCCTTTTTTCTAAAAATTTGATAAAACACTGATCTGAAAAGACATTATGAAATCCTAAATGAATTTTTCAATGGGGTCAAATATCATTGAAGTAAAGCTGCGAATCCCGTTGTAAATTACCAGCTTCATGACGGAGGTGGTGGTCACTGGGATGAGTCGGTCCGAAGTGATGCCACTGAGTCTGGCCCGGCTCTTATATATGGAGCTGTGAGGCGGGGCGGGCGGGCTCAACTGCAGCGCCCGGGCGGGATAACCCGTTCGCGCTCCTTTCACCGGCCGGCCGGCCGTCGTCCGTCCTCTGCGCTGTGACCCTCCCCGCCGCCGCGCCGGGGTATCTGCCGCGCCATCGGTGCACGCTCTCGGTTGGATCAGGAAAAACGCGCCCGATAACACCCCGATTAGCCGGTGACCGTCTCACACACCGGGCGTGCAGAGAGCACGATTTTTACTCGTCGGACATGGATTCTGTTGAAACTGGCACAGAGCAGAGGCCTTCATTCACACTGAAATTCGCTATGTCACAATGCCTGGAACACGGACAATGGTGTGCGATACTGTACGGTTTTACGCAAAAGAGGTAAATGTGAAGTAGTTAGTGCAATCGCCTGTCTCCATCTGAAATAAATCGCTTTAATATTGAACTCTACCGATGGTGGGTTGGTTGGTTTGTTACAGCAGAAAGTCCGGGAGCCTTGCCGAGCAATCCAAAGATGCCGATATCGACGAAGGCCTGGATCAATCGCTATCATTATCAGCTCATGATACCCAGTGACAGGTGGCCTGGCGTCTCTGTCTGCGCTACTGTGCGGCGCTAGCTCTACCCGGCCGCCCTCGCAGATAGCTAAGTGACGGGCGACGTCACTGAGACGGCGATAGCGGCCGATAGCGATGGTCAATTGCCGCTATCGCATCCGCTTAGATTGGACTGCCGACCTCAGTTCGGTTCAGCAGTGGCCGGCTGGGGCGCGGTGTGCTGTGGAACCGTGACCTGAAGTGCGACCTGAGGTCAGATATTATCGATAGGTCACCGGGCGCCAGCCCCAGCGGCGGCCTCCGCCATGGATTATGAGAAAGATGACCAGGAACAACTGGTCGAAGACAATCGCCCAATTACGTGGAAAGGTAAGCTATATATTTTTTTTTGCCAGGTTACGTTTTGTTAGAAAGGTCCCTGGATATTTGTTGGATTAAATAAGATGTCAAGTTATTATAGTTGCCAGGTCTGATTCATTAAACGTATTTAAATGAAGTGTCTACCCATGCGTAAAAGTAATAATGTATTTATTAGAACTAGATGGTGCAAAGCGCAAGGATTATTTGTTTATAAATTTTTGATTTTGAATTTGATATGCTCACGGCCACAATTTATTTGTTGCCTTGAAAGGATGTTATATAAGCCGAGGCCTACAATACCTTTAAATTGTAGTCCAGAATACCTTTGAGCAAGATCGAGATAACAAATATCAAATCGGATTAAGGCCTATAATCCATAAAAAACATGCTATTTTTTTCAGGTCCTTGAAGTGTGGACGTCACTCATGTCATGTACGCTGCATTGATGCCCCTATCTGGTATTGAGATTCAACCCGAGTGGCTTGCCGTCAAAGCGATATGGCCTTGCTCTCATTTTCACAAATTGGACCAGTTCCTTTCAACGTCCGACCCTCGGCATGTTACGGATCGGGAACTTCTCAGTATTCAATCATATCAATCTTTTTCAATCTCAAAGCTCTTAGTTTGTCTATCTTCAATTCCCAGGGTGTCTGCTCAGCTACCTGCCTCCACCTTTTCTACCACCTGCCTCAGCTCCGCCCCAATGAGTGCCGTTTAGCGTGAGACGGTTCACCCGCACGAGCCTCGCTCCCATCCGCAGATGGGGTGTCGGACGCGCTGACAAGCCGGCCGGCTCTCTTCACCTACCTGACCGTGACGTGCGTCACCATCGGCCTTCTGATCCCGATGTGGTTCCTGATATACTACCCGCTGGACCTGGAGATGGCCATCTACACCCGAGGCAGCTGCATGATAGCCACCAAGTACAGGTAGGAGACAAACTTCATGACCAGGGATCGACTCATGGCCTGACGTCAGAACTGTCTCTGATGCTCTGCTACCTTGCCTAATCGCACCTCACCTCACCCATCTCATGTCACCCAGTGTGATGTGCTGATCTCCAGGTGACTTCTCCGTGTACAGTCGCGGTAAGCATGCAGTCATTCTTAGATCGTGACAGTGTTTGTGTACCTATTTACCTACATAAGATCACATGAGATTGTGTTTAACCTGGTGGACTATGTCGCTTTACATGCTTTTGTTGTCGCTGATTCTGCATTTTTGTCCCGCTTATTTTGTGCATTCGTCGCTGTTTTTGATGTAGGTTTGAAATACTGATGCAAGATGATAATGATATGTGCAGTTTCTAGAACCCGTCACTTTCCTTTGCATTTTACTTTCTTCGGTGCTGAGCGGAGAACAACGAACGCATTTTTGACAGAAGGGTATCTAAGGACTGTCGTTAACGGTGTCTTAGAGCAATTCCACCGTGTCCTGCCAAGCCCGGGTGATTCACCGACGGATGGGTGCAGCATCGCTCCAGAAATTATCAGCAGGATAAGCATGATACATTGTCGCTCGTACAACCATTTTTCGGTAGTCTAAACACGATACCGTGACTATCTTACATCTTCTATCTCTGTGTAGGTTCACGAAGCCGCTACCATCTTAATCTTACAGCCGTTCTTACTCCTGTAGCAAGGACGATTACATCTGTTCAGTCAAAAATGTGAACCTGAGTTAAAGCTTCCGTTATCTGTCACCCTTCCCCATCTCTGTTCTAACGGTGTTACTATATCGATGAATTCGTCTGATAAAACAGCGTCACTGCTTGTCCTGTAGGCTCGCTTTATCGGCCTGCTCATGTTTGCCAGGCAGGCAGACCACAGGAGCTAACTGTCTTGAAAGTTTCGTTTAGCTGAAAGGGAATGATTGCTCTGGATAATAAACATCCACTTAGTGGTTTTTGTGTCTTTATTTTTGCACACCATTAGCACATCCATCCATGTCAATTGAATTGACTCGGTTCCAAGAAATATTTGATTAGTACATACTGGCTGAAGTGCTGGGTCACCGTGCGTTGTATAAGGGATCTGGTGAAGTCCATATTCATTCATTCATTCATTCATTCATTCATTCATTCATTCATTCATTCATTCATTCATTCATTCACTATCAAACGACTGTTCCTCAGGTTCCCGTGCCTGGTAGGTGAAGAGAACACCACAGACCTGACCTGCGCGCTGGCTGGCTGCTGCTGGTACGACGAAGAAGGCAGCGCAGACCAGGGCCCAGCCAAATGTTTCCACTCCATGCCGGCCTCCTATACGTACAAAATGCACAACTCAACCGTGGGCCCCAACTCCATCTCCGCCGACCTGACGGCCTACTCGTTCGCGGACGCGGAGGCCCGACGCGCGGTGCGCACCCCATACAACAACAGCGCCCTGCCGCACGTCACCGCCTCGGTCACCATCGCGGAGCCGGAGCGGGTGCTGCTCGAGGTGGGCCCGCCGCCGGCGGTGGCGCTCACCGCCAACTCCGACTCCCACCCTGTGTCGGTGAACGGCTCCGTCCTCACCATCGCCTCCAACACCGGCCCAGAGTGGGACTTTTTCGCCGTGGTGTCGCGCACATCCACGGGCCAGGCGCTGGTCGACACCCGACTCGGCGCCACCATCGTCAGCGACCAGTACACCGAGTTCACTGTCGTGCCGGCCTCAACGGCCGTCTACGGCCTCGGCCAGGCCTTCCACTCGACGCTGAGGCGGACGTTCGACTGGCCGCCGCGCACGGCCATGTTCGGCAGGTCGCGGCTCTTCTCCGAGGGCAGCCACCCGTTCTACATGTGCATCGAGCCGAGCGGCGACGTGCACGGTGTCTACCTGGAGACGTCTGCGCCCGTAGAGGTGCAGCTGATGCCGGGCCCGAGCATCACGTTCCGGGTGCTGGACAGCCGGGTGAAGCTGCACGTGCTGGCCGGTCCGACGCCGGCCGATGTCACCGACCAGTACACCCAGCTGGTGGGCCGGCCGCGCCTGCCGCCGCTCTGGGCACTGGGATTCCACCTCTGTCGCGAAGGAGACGTCGGCAGCTTTGACACGGTGATGGAACAGATGGTGGCCAGCAGGATTCCGTTCGAGTCTGACTGTGTGGACGCCACAGCGCTGCTGCCGCTCGGGTTTGAGGCCTCCGAGGAGTTCCTCAACGGCTCGCAGAAACTGCACGCGATGAACCGGCACGTGATGGCCGCGGTGGCGCCGCACCTTCCTCTGTACCGCGACCCCGTGGGTGAGGAGAACACTGCGTACCCGCCATACGAGGATGCCGACGTGCAGGGTCTCCTCCTGCGGAACGACAACAACACGGACAACGTGTACGGAGAGCTGTACGACCTGAGCAGGAACCGCACCTGGAATGTCTCCTACGTCGACTACTCAAACCCAGCCACCGTGGGCTGGGCGAAGCCGCTCTATCAGGGGCTGATCACCAATAACAGCATCGACGGCTTCTTCCTGATGCGTAACACTCCGACCAACGATGGCGAAGACATGTGCAACGACTCTCTGCCGTTTGTCCCGAACTTGGGCGACTCGAAGACGCTTTCCAACGGCACCGTGTGCATGCTGTCCAAACAGGCGTCCGGTGATCACCTCACCAGTCACAACCGTTATGGCCAGGAGCAGACTCGTACTGTGCGCGAGGCGACAAATGACACCTTCCCAAGTCTGATGCTGACCAGCACCTCAACCTCGCCTGGAAGCGGATTGCAAGGCGGTCATTTTGCCACGGGTATGACGGCGGACTGGACAAGCCTGTCGCTCGCACTGGTGGAAACGTTGGAGCTGGGTCTGTACGGAATCCCTCAGAGCGGTTACCCCATCTGTGGCTCCCGAAACTCCACCAGCATCCCGACGGACGACACGGAGCGGCTGGAGACGCTGTGTCTGCTCTGGTACCAGCTGCTGCCGTACCTGCCGCTGGCCGTCAGCCACTACGAGGCCGGCCACCTGCCGCGCAACCCCACGCAGATGAGCTCGTCGTTCAAGCTGAGTGTGCTGGCCCAGGTCAGCCAGCGGTACGTGTTTATTCCCTACCACTACACCCTGCTGGTGGAGGCCAGTCAGACGGGCGTGCCGCCGCTGCGGCCGCTCTGGTACGAGTTCGCGCAGGACAACGCCACCTGGGACATTGACCAGCAGCTGCTGCTGGGACCGGCGCTGATGATCGCGCCGGCGCTCACCGAGGGCCAGCAGATCGTCGAGCTCTACCTGCCCGGCTCCTGCTGGTACGAGTACTTCCAGGGCTTCCGACCGAAGGATGACATCGGCCCCGGCTGGGTGAAGCTGCCGGTACCCGCTCAGCAGACCCTCATCTACCAGAGGGCCGGCAGCGTCATTTTCAATCAGGTCAGTGCCCACTTGATAGAATGGTCAACACTGTAAAGCTGAGCTGTCTCACACACGGTGATTTCTATGTAACCATTGCGTCTTAAACATGATGTAGACCGGCTACGTAGTAGAGGTATCGTTTCAAAGTCCAATCAGCTGCAGCGATAGTTGCCTACAACATGAAAGCTGACCAAATGTAAGCTGTTGTAATCTTGCTATGGCTAAATGTAAGCTATTGATATATTTTTACTCATCCGTATGCAGTATGCAAAGAGGAAAGTATCGGGACGTCGGCAGTGCAGTTGCTATGCGATCCACTCTGTAGGTCTAGTATGGTCTAGTCTCATAGAAGCGAGGATTGGCTCAGGCCGGTCGCCGACGGTTGGTTGTGTACCTAACGGATTGTGCACCAGAGACCTCTCTACTAAGCCCAGAACAACTAGAGAATGTCCGGGTCTCTTAGCATGGATGGCTTAGCTTACCCGAGAGGCCAAGGTTACCAGGAGACTTATCCGTGCCGCTAACTGAAATGCTAATTTAAAGCTTCTCAAGCCTGGTAATAACGTGATAAGCACAGTTTTAAAAGTTTTGGATCATAGGAGGACGAGGCTCACGACATTTCACTCGGGAAGTGACGCGATTTTCTTCCCTGGGTACTTTTTACAGCTGGCTTTGATAGGACGTCGGTTTGACCTTTGCTCAGATGATTGTGTGCCCTCTCACTTTGCAGATAGCATTACATTGATAACAGCAGAGATACAGCCGTTTGTGTATGCACGATGTAAGAAAAACATGTAGGCACACTTTAGAGCTGTGTATGTGAATACTCTCAACAAATAAGGACAAGGTTGGCAAGTGTTGATTATATTAAGTTATGACATTCTAATATAGCATACATTTTAACAGTATTTTGACCACCCTGGTTTAGTTGCAAAATCTTAGGCATAGTTCTTTATGGTTACTTTACCATTGAGTGCTCGTTTCTCATTTATTGGTTTGCCTCTGTATTCACTGATAATTCTTTCCAAAAATTTATGCTTAGCTGAGGACAAATTATTAGTGAAAGTGTTCCCCGTTCCGCCTCGGTTACCGGAGTTCCCTGATATCGCTCGGTCTGTTTTCAGCAAGCGTCCGAGACGCTATCTCAGCAGCGAGTGGACGGCACGTACTCGGCCACGGTGGCGCTGACCTGCGAGGAGGGCTACCAGGCGTCGGGCACCCTCTACCTGCCGGGCGACGACGCGGCGATCGGACCGGGCAGCGTTACCGTCACGGTGCGCGACAACTCCACCGTGGAGATCGTCAGCGGCCTCAGCCGACCGTTCTGCGACTTCTACTACAACAACAACTACACCTCGGTGCTGAAGCAGGTCCAGATGTTCGGCATCACGGAGAGTGTGACGAACGTGACGCTGGCGCTGACGCCGGCCGGCGGCGCGCCGCTGCCGCCCACTGTACTGGCGCCGAAACACCAGACGCTGGAGCCGCCGGCGCTGATCGTGCAGGATGTCAACCTGGACTGGTGCCTGTTCGAGAGGGCCGAGATCACCTGGACCGTCGCCGAGCTGGTCTGAAGTCGGTGCAGAGGATAAGAACGAGGAGGGCATTCTGAAGGTGTATTGACGAGAATGCATGAATAGTCATTGATGGTGCTAGAGCTGTAATGCTATGAAAGCGATGGGAGCTCGGTTTTGCTGCATTGAGTCATGTTGGTGTTGAATTCGGGATGTGTCTTCTTTCTTTGAACATACAAAGAAAAACCGTTTGTACCCAAACAGCAATGGTAAACGGTATTTGAGGCGTGGTTGGCTGTTCACGTATTTTGTTCCCTCTTAAGCCTATAACTTACCTAATGGATTTAATTAACTTGGTAATTGGTATATTGATGCCGTCACTATCCAAGAGGAATACTCCCAAATTATTTGTGACCAATCATGGTACCTATGCAGACACTGTCAACCACCTTTTTTCAATCCGAATCGGCATCCGGTCAGTTAGTTTGGGCAGATCTGCATTAGGAACGTCAGCTTGAGTGCGCTTTCGACAAACCACGCCTCAAACTCGGCATAGTGCAACAGCGTGACATGGGGCATTTAATGTCGGCAATAAGCGTGGTTTCGACACTGGCCAATGTATTTCGGCACACGGCATAGGACTGTGACATCGGGCATTGGAAAAAGGCAAATTTCATTTTACAATGACGATGGTCATGCAATTTCGTTGGCGGTAAAACAAGTTAAATCGAACAAATTTCGAACCATATTTTGTACAATGAAGCGTTTCCAATGCTTACCACTAGAATTTATAGCATTTTTCCTTTTCTTAGACTTTCCTTGGATTGATGGAACACAAAATACGCCAAGGCCGTGGTTTTAAGGTCTAAACGTTCTTTTTCTTTCTGTGGATGGAGGGTGAGTAGGCTAGCAAGCCATGTCAGAGTCGTGAGATGAGAGGATCATCAATGCGGAGGAAGCATTTAGGTGAGTGCAGTGACCGATGAGCTGCGGCGGCTGACAAGGCGCCGGAATAAAACTGTCCCGCTACGGATATGTAGCCAAAGCGATCGATGGCCCAGCCCGTAGGGTTTCCACCTTTCCAGAAGGCAGTTTTTTTTTTGTCCAGAGATACAGTTCACCATGACTGACCGCCGTCCTGCAAACATGACACGCCCATTTCCATCTCGGCAGACCTGAACCATCCGCGCTGGCGGTCAGCGCCACTCACAATGTGTCGACAGATCGACACAAATGAAAAAAATCAATATTTTTGTTTTTCATGCAAGAAATACGGCTAAAACAATGTCAACTTTAGATGCGTTGAAAGGATCGAGGCCCCGAATGACCCCCGTCAACCTTTGGATTCGCCTGGAGCGTGGCCCCGAATGACCCTCGTCGCCCTTTGGATTCGCCAGTGCTTCCACATTGTCACAGAGTGACGCAAGGATGGTGACCTCGAATGAGGTCAGCTTGTGTGCCGGAAGTGGTTGATGTTAGGGACGAACCGGTGTTAAGGTTCCAGAGCGACTGACGAAATTAGGTGCCCGTTGCCGTATTCGAATGAACGGTTGCCGACTCGGATTGAAAAAGGTGTGGTTACTTAGCAACCAAGCGCCCATATTTAGTGTCTCTTTACAGTACCGTGGTACATTTTAACGCACATTCTTAAAATGCCTTTCCAAAAAGACAAGAGTTGCTTAATTCACTGATGACATAGATTGACCATTGTCTAGCTTGGCTGCAAGCTGCCGACGTAAAATGCAATATGACAAAACAGAATGCCCTTTGTCGATATTAAATGCCCCTGCTGTTGTTCAATGACCCTGGTCGAATATCAACAGATGCTAGTCTAAATTCGTGAAACGTGTCGAAATGTGTGCTCCAGTGTCGAGTTGTTGGAGTGCCTGTCGAGATAAGGTGCCCGCTGCCGTATTTGAATGAACGGATGCCGATTCGGATTGAAAAAAGGTGTAGGTAACCTATACTGCATGAGAGGCCGAACAAATGTGAGGCTTTATGAATGGCTTTATATAAATGATATGTATGCCAATGCACTATAGGTATCTAATAAACATGATAACACCTACACATGTAACAACATACTCGTACGTATTGTTACATTACACTTCTTGATGTGCAGCCTCGCTTTTAGTTCATGCCGAGATGAGCGTGACTCTTCTTTCGAAACACGTTACAGTTTAACACGTTAACCCGTCAATCGTTAACGTAAAAAAAGAAAACACGTTAAACACTTACCTTCGAGTGCAAGAGTGATGTGTGAGTTGTGACTAGTATGAAGTGCAAACGTTGGCGCTCCCCTTAGCCCGACGTCATTTCACGCAACATGGTCTAACACGACGACGGTATACATATGTGTTGAAGGTACGGCCCTCCAGGTACTAAGTGGTTGGTTGCCATCATCACAATAATCGATCTGCATTGATGAATACGTCTCATGGCTGTTGAAAACTATTGCCGAAGTGTGTGCACGAACCAAGGCCTCGTCTAACATGTTAACTGGGGGGGGGGGGGCCAAACCCCCGCAGTCATCGACCTGGCCCCCCCAGTCAGGGCAAAAAGTCACTACTGGGGGGGGGGGGCCGGCAATAGCCAAAAGGCAAACGAATTTTTATTTTGAGGCGTCAGTGCACATAAAAATATGCGTAAACGAAATGATGCAATGTGAGCTCATTGAAATACCCCATTACCTAGGGCTGTTATGTGTTTATTTTGTTTACCTGAACCATTTTTTTTTTTGGCTCAGCAATACGTAACATTTCGTCTTTTCAGGCGCCCAACTCCGTGTCCCGGATATTCTTTTTTCATTAATTTAGTCCGAACCTTTTGAATGGAAGGATTCACAAGTACAGAGCCCCCGCTAAGCAGAGCTTTGCGTTGGCCCTGCCCTCTACCCTCCGATCGCGCAATTTGTGATCTATGGCAGAATTTAGAGCCCAAAGTTTAACATATGCACGTAGCCGTGCACGGCGGGTCCCTCACTGACTTCGAATGGCTACGGCTTGCCACCAACGGTAACCATACTCGCCAGGAGGCTCATAAAGATCAAGCGATGTCGCGCTTCGAACCTGGACTTGTTTTGTTTTGTTTTGTTTTGTTGGGTTAGGCCCTTTCGGTCGACAAGACCATTGCAGAGCCGGAAGGATGATAGGAATTAGGGGGAGACATTGGTCTGGGCAGGCACCCTAGTGAGTCGCCGGGGCTGAGCCCGTCCAGAGGACAGGCCACCCAGCCCCAAGGCACTCACTGCACCCGGCTACGGGGTGCGCTCCCTCGGGAGCAGCGGTGCCGCTCCAAGGGAGCAGCCCGCATGAGATAAAGTTGCCTGTCCAGCCCGGAAGGGGGTTGTGGCGTGGAGGAGAAGGATTTCAGTATCCTGAGGATAGAAGCACGGATAGGTGATGAACCTGGACTGTTATAACCGGGACGCGGGCCCTCACCACGCGGAGTCCAAGGCTCTGGCAAAAGTTTCTCCTTTAGGTATCAATCTTTCGTTTCTGTCCTCGGGGCGTCAATCTCTTGTTTTTGCCTATCGTCGTCCTCGCTATGCGGCGTCAGTCCAACTTCTGGCTGGACGGTCACCGGTGTGCGGCTAGAGTAGCTCCTAATCGTAATGAAGCAGGCTCTCGTTCTGGGTGGTCGTACATATGTACGTAGGCGCAGATGCCAGATTGGTGGTCTGTCTGTGGGGACGGGAACTCAGACAGCTGGATTACCTAAAGAAGTCGGCATGGAGTCCTGGAGGGCAAATGCCAGCCACTTAGGGTCCCAACGGGCCTCAAAGCACTACTTTCTTCATTTTTGTTTAGTTTATAGCCTCTGACGACCTTAAGGTTGTGTCGAAGATCCCCATGGCGATTACGGAGAATCCACCTGAGAAGCCATCAGTGTCCAGGTTGATACACAGGCATTACACTGGTCTGAGGGGGCCCTAGTGGGAAAATACGGTCTCCACTCAGATTGACCCTTAAAGCCTGGTATGGATATATAAAACCAGTGTGGGCTACCAGTAGCGGCGGAACACCTTCAATTAAGGGGGGCATAGGCGGCGGAACGGGGAGGGCACCGGGGCACCGTGCCCCCTTTTATTTTGGCATTTTAACATTAGGGGCATTCCACGTCAAATCAAACACCGAAATCCGTCATCCCCTTCGATTTTTCTGAAAATTTGTAGGCAGACTGGGCATGGTTCAAAACTGAGTTACGTATAATATTTTCGAAATTTGATAACGTATCGCCGAGATATAGGTAATCGAATATAGCCAAAAATGCCAGACATCATTTTTTTAAATGCTTATAACTCTGGTTCCTTTTCTGGTATCAAAATGATATTAACATGGTCTTGTAGGCAATTGATAAGGCTTTGATTTTTAATTATAAAATTAAATTGAAGTGACCTTGAAATGCATTTGACCTTGAATTAAAACAGAAAAATTTAAATAGCAAAAAACACGCCACCTTCGATTTGAGTAATTTTTACATATTATGTCCGTCACAATGTTCCTAACCATCTGTAAAAAAATTGGAGTGGGCCATTCATAACTTTCGCGGCAAACGCCGTTCTCATGCATCAACATCACGCAACCGCGCGTGACCTTGAAAGACAGAGTCAAGACATGCTTGCTTGTGTACACTTTCTGAAATGAATGATTGCTGATTAGTGATATCCCAAACTCTGCGAGAATGGAAATGCATAGTCATCGTAGTCAAGCATTCACGTTCCATTGTAAAAGTGTCTCAGGCAAACGGTATTTTGCGGTGAATTTTGAGCCGTGTGGAAATGCATCATGACATAAATTCAACGAAAACATTATCACGCAACGATAGCTTCACGTCTTTTGATCTTCACTATACGAAAGAACATACATTTTTGAGTATGTCATAGGGAATTTCTAGTTAATCCGATAATAAATATGGCAGTTAGAGTCCTGCTAAGAGTAACATGTCGCCGGCTGAGGCGGGATCGGCCGACGCGGGAAACGCAGCAGTCACAATTTTGTGTTTACACGTTCATATTTCAATTGTTTACCAACCTATTTTCAGAATTCTTTCACCATAAGATTGCCTGTACATTTCGACAGGATGTTCACTTTACACCGCTATTACTAGAACAGTTGTGAACCGATTTTCTTATTGCTTGCACGATGAGATGTGCAATTCAATTCTGGACAGGTAGCCATAAGTAATTTCGCATCAATATTATGAGATATTGGCGAAAAACAGGAGGGGTGGGGCGAAATTCACTCTTCCCCCTCCACTGCGCGTGCTAACATACGTTTGCATATGTGCCATTTTCTTCAAAACTTATGAATGGCCCACTCTAATTTTTTCACAGGTTGTTAAGAATATGGTAGGCAATAAAATATATGAAAATGAGCCAAATCGAAGGTGGCGTGTTTTTTGCTATTTCAATTTTTGTGCTTAAGAACAGAGTTAAGCAAATTTCAAGGTCATATATTTAAGTCGATGCAATTCTAAACAAATGCTTAAGAAATTACCTAAACAGTAAGGTTTATTTCATTCAAATCAAACAAGTACAACCAAAGTTATGGTCGTTCAAAAATATAAAGATGCAACATTTTGTAAAAATTTGATGCCCTATATTTAGAAGACCTGTGGTCAGAATGTGCAAAAAAGATCAATGTAATGTCCGGGGCGACACAGGAACTCGCTCACAAATTTATAATGAAATCGCTGATGGTAAGGTGCAAAACAGCCGATTTTTGTTCGATTTGACGTGGAATGCCCCATTAGCTCTATGGGCGTTGCATGGAAAGAATGGGACCAAAAGTCGGCAGTGCCCCCCCCCCCTTAATTGAAGGTGTTCCGCCGCTACTGAAGGGGGGGGGGGCACTGCCGACTTATGGTCCCATTCTTTCCATGCAACGCCCATAGGGCTAATGTTAAAATGCCAAAATCAAAGGGAGGCACGGTTCCCGGTGCCCTCCCCGTTCCGCCGCCTATGTGGGCTACCATAGAGGCCGACGTAGGTCCAGAAGCTGGCATTAGCTCTCAGAGATCGGCACCGAGCGCTCAGAGGGACCCATCAGAAACCGATGTGGTTCAATATATATATATATATATATATATATATATATATATATATATATATATATATATATATATATATATATATATATATATATATATATATATATATATATATATATATATATATATATATACAAGTGTTGTTGAACAGAATAGAGAGTTTCGCATTTGTTATTTTTTTGCTCAGACTTTCCACGTTTCGTATAATCTTCTTATTTTCTGGCGTATGTTGAAAGAGGACATTTCCGAGGTTCATAGTGAAAAGAAGGAAGAAGATGAGACACATGTTTAATGAGTAAAGACAAATCAGACGTTTCGTGTAGCATTACACATTTTCAATGGTTGATTGTTACATGATTACAGATTAATATGATGACATGATGACATATAAAAACACATCAAATGTACAATATCGATCGGTGTTTCGAAGATGGTTTCGAATGTGGCAAGGAAGTGGAGCGACTTGAATTAATCACTTCGCGTGTTGTCCTGCGTTCCGTTTATGGCGGGGCACCTTCAAAAAGCTGGAGTATCCCTCTGGCGTTGACCTGTCTGTTGATTTTAGGTTCCAGTTTTCTGATGTAAACTGCTTCCAGTATATGCAGTTTTCTCTTGTCTGTTTCTTGACATAGTATGGTGATGTTCTTAGTGATGTCAGTTCGTGTGAGATGGTCGTCTTGGTGGTGTGTGTCGTTGTGTGTCAGCAGCGCGCCCTGTTGCAGGTGCATTGTTATTCTTCTGCTAAGTGTCGTTGTTGTGTGTCCGATGTAGCCACTGTTAGCTTGGAGCGCACAGTCTCCCTTTTTGCATGAGTAGTGGTATACAACGTTCGTCTTTTTGAGGATAGATGGGTCGTTGGATGGGTTGTTTCGAAGGACTAATGATTTGGTCGTCGGGTTTTTGTAGTAGATACTACAAAAAGTAGTAGATACTACTACAAAAACCCGACGACCAAATCATTAGTCCTTCGAAACAACCCATCCAACGACCCATCTATCCTCAAAAAGACGAACGTTGTATACCACTACTCATGCAAAAAGGGAGACTGTGCGCTCCAAGCTAACAGTGGCTACATCGGACACACAACAACGACACTTAGCAGAAGAATAACAATGCACCTGCAACAGGGCGCGCTGCTGACACACAACGACACACACCACCAAGACGACCATCTCACACGAACTGACATCACTAAGAACATCACCATACTATGTCAAGAAACAGACAAGAGAAAACTGCATATACTGGAAGCAGTTTACATCAGAAAACTGGAACCTAAAATCAACAGACAGGT